CGAAATAATTCACTTCTCATCAAAAATCTCACACAGCCATTGTGTATGCGGCCCAGTTGAAGGCGTTTTCGTCTTTCAGATTTTTCTTATGCTGGCCGAGAAAGGGTTTCTTAGAAATCATTTAACTTTCGAGAATTATTCAGTTGGCTTTGAGGAAAAAACTTCTTCCAATCTTTATCCTACGCTTTTCTCAGATGTCCTTGCCCTTTGATTCCTATTAGGGTGAAAGGACAAGAGGTGTTCTCATACGAACGCACTGAGCGTAATGTTCGTCTCAATCCTATAATTTCTTGCAGGAATGCCGAGCTTTGGGCAGAACATATCGCTTTGCCCGGAAATCGAACTCGGCGTCGTTACGTTTCCGGGCATTGTGCCAGCTTATTGGGCTTTTTCTTCTTTCTTCTTCATTGCAATATGAATATTTCCGTAATATTTCTGTAACTTGTATAACAAACCACATGACAGGGGAATGATGGTCCATAGCAAGTGCCGTAGCTCTTTACGGGCTCGGTCCGGAGGTCAGACTCAGAGTAAGCCTCCGCCTACGCCAACTAGGCTTCCTCCACTCTGAGGCAAATAAGTTGATCACAAATTCGTTTTGGGGAATAAAAACATTTACTCGTTCACGGTGTTCCCCTCCTCCCCCTCGCCAGGCCTCACCCCTCCCCCCAGGAGGTAACTACATAATTCAGCTCCCACTCAGCGAGTCGCTACAATTCTAAGTATTTTCTGACTTTGTAACATTATTCATACAATATTATATTAAGATATTATTTATTACCATATTGTATTGTTATTTGTATTTCTTATTATAATCTATTATTATTTGCTATCACACAGGTGACAGGTGATATCATTTAGGGGCATTTCGTACTTCCCCAGATTTCTCAATTGTCTTCAAACTTATTTCATTTTATCTCGTGGCTTCGTGTTGTTGTTTTTTCGCGGGGTTGTTCTTATTTCGCGGGGTTGTTCTAATGATGCCTATTTACGGGCAAAACATTTGGTGTGACAAGGGTTTCCGCCAAGAGCCACGGCTCGGCTCCAGTCACCTTACCTACACTACTTATCCCTAAGCCAGAGTAGGCGTGGCATTTGAACGTGGCACGGAATTGGTTACTCGTGGAATATTCCAGTCTGGAAACTTGTCCATCTCGACTCAGTGCTTGGAGCTAGCAGATACGACAACGGTTGTGTCAAGAATGGCAAATGATTCCACCAAGAACAGAGACATTCCTTCAGGTAAGTGCGAGCCCACGCCTACCCGACTCTCAGGGATTTCGAGTATAGTAATTGGACACTGATATGCATTACTGGGGAAATAGTATCCCTTTAGTTTCCAAGAATGGAGCAAAACTTGAGAAATGCGAACGTTTTAGTCTTTACTTTGCCTTTCCGGGAATTCGGACTACTTCCTTCTGTGCTGAAAACACCATCTCTCAGACGCATGATCCATGCGATGGAAAGAATCTGCGGCCAAAAGCCGTGGAAGTCCGTGAGAAAGCTGATAGAATGAGCCCCTAGTCGGACTCAATGAGGCGTCATGTCTGCTCGTCTGTGAGGTGAAAATTGAAATCTCCAAACTGCTTCACCCTTTTATTCTTCCTGAAGATAATCGCTTCTTGTCATGGTTTCGTCAAGTCTTCTACCCTTGGCCCAATCACTTTCGAGGTTTCATTCTTCTATTTAGAATTTTGGATATCTCAAGGTAATTTGGGCTTGATGAATAGCAGGCAGTGCTTCGCCCTTTTATCTACAAAGAATTTGGTGCCAACTGTGGTAAACTCCCAGTTTGTGCTGTTGTGCTTGTTCTTTGTGCTCTGCTCGGATATTTACACCGCCGGAAGGGGGTGACGGCAGCAGCCAGAATAGGGGCGGCAGACAACGTTTGGGGAGCTTCTCGGTTAGTTCTTCAGGTTGAAGACAGACTTCGTGATGGGCCAGCAGGAAGTTTGTAGGTAGCGGTATTAGAAACAGAAGTGTGGGTGCTAGTTGACTTGCCCGTGAAGAAAAAAGGAAAGGAGACCATTGAAAACGCTCCCAATCGGGCCCTACTTTGTGTCAAGCAACAACCACATGAATCGATGTGAATACTGGGCGAGAAGCCAGACAAAGCAGCGATAGAGCGTGCAAACAAGCGAGACAGGCAGATAAGACATCTATCAACGCGGGCGGAGTCACATGAGCAACTTTGTGCCTTCATCGCGACTACCTTATCACTTTCTGACAGGAAACTTGTAGAGGGATATTAGTGTTACCCACACTACATACCTCTTCGTCTGAAGGGCTCGAACAAGTGATCGTGGTCTCTGCCTTCGAATACTTACCAAACCCAATCGAAAAGGTTAGATGGTTTGGCTGGCCAGGGCAAAAGGAAATCCGCGGATTTGGCAGATGCCATTAGACCACCTCCATGCAGTGAGAAAACAAAAGATGAAGTTTTCGAAGCAGGTTGATCGCTTTTTGGAATGCGCCACGTACTGTATTCACGTAATGGTAAAAAAATAATAGCATTTGGAGGCAGTTTGTCTTGCCCAACTGAATAGAAACTGTTTTTCCCAAGACTGCACCTCTCAAGATCCTCGTTTTCGCCTATTCATTTCCTTGTAATGCAGAGAAGCAGAAGTTTCAACTTCTATACCTGATCGTGGACTGAGCTTTTTAAGTCCCAGTATCTGATAAGCGAGGTAAAGGTTGGAGTTTTTTCCTCAAGGCAACTTTTTTACTTCGTGGTCAGTCACGGAGTGATGGAATGTGCAGTTGACCCGTGGTGGCGAACTTGGGACTTGAAGACTCGGTCCGCGATCAGATTTAGAAGTTGAAAACATGGCATCGTGTGGGTAGTGTGGTCCGCGCGGGGAACAACCTTGCACCGGTTTCAGCGCAAATCATAAGGAAGGGCGCTATATAGGTTTACTTGACGCGCTTCCAGGGACCTCCGCTCAGACCGCCTTCAGACTTCCGCCTTCAAGGGCGTGAAAAACGAAGCTGGGCCGAAGAAAGAACACGGGCAAATCGTCAACTGGTCGAACGAGTTCTTATCGTGGATCAGCTGCGGATGAGGGAGTAGTGTTCGAGATGGAGTTCACTGGGCACGTTCAGATTAGGACCGGAGTGGGTTCCTATTTAGGGCAGTCGGCATGTTTTCTCTGCTTTTTTCTTCACTATCGAGTTACTCAGCACCTTGCTTCTATATGCGGACCCATAATCCACTATCTCTGAATGCGAATGATCACGGGTTTTGCTTCAAAGCGCGATTTGAGAGCGCCACTCGGCACTCTGACTGCCTCCGTTCCGTGAAGAATTCTTAGGGAGAAACTTACGATGGAGACTGAAAGTGGATGTATGGAGCTTCCAGAGCAGCTCAGCTCAGATCTTCTTTACCTTCCTGACTCTTCTGGTTATTTCTTATATCTTCATGCCCAGAGGACTCGACCTTCTGTGCAGCAGGACAGAAAAAAACGAAATATGGAATTATTCCTGCAAGTAAGATCCTGCCCGCATCCATTCCTTTTCTTGATGTGATTATTCGGCAACGGCTTCTGCTCTCGTTCTCTATTCGCCCTATCAAAGGCGATTTGTCAATGTCCTTTCTGCACCCGAAGGACTCATTGATGTTGCCTCTTTGATGTTTCCATAGACTGCACCTCTTTTGCTCCTCTTTTTCGCTTTTTCTCTGCGAATATTTCGATTTTGAATGTTTTTTGTT